TTCTTTAAGAAGAACATAAAATATGTGGTCTATTTGTTTAAACTTTAGGTTTAAAAATTAGAGATGGCTATAAACATTAAATTCATAAATCATTAAAAAGATAAAAACAATGTTAATAGTCTTCCTTGATCAGGATGTTACAGAAAAACACTGGACTGGAAGTTTGGAAACCTGGGTCTAGGTCTTCTCTCTGCTTCTCATTTCTAATATAATTTGTGGAACGTAATTTATATTTTCCTGGGCCCCCCTTTAAGTAACTATAATTTAAGAAATTGTTAACAATTGTTGCCAGGGTTCCATTCAACATTCACGTAGTAAAAATAACGTGCCCGCCTGTAATTTTAAACATTCATTTACGACGGCACTTCACCAAATCTCTGCATGAACTGGGAAGGGTTATCTGTCTACAGTTTGCCGACATGACATGGGAACTTACAGAAGCCAGTTGTGCTGACGCAGGTCACACACACAGGAGAGGGCATCGGAGAGCTTCGTCCCCATGTCAGCCTCACTCCATTTTAATCAAATGATTCACAGTGAGTGAGGTTAAGATTATTGGAGAGAGTAACTTTCTTAGCTGGACACGGAGCCTGAAAGCCTGAGCTTCAGAAGTAGAACCTTCATTTGTCCTTTCACGTATCACAGCAAGTGTGGTTTCACATGTGTGAATTTCGCTTGGACTTAGGCACGAGGTTTCCCTTCTCCCGAATCTCTTCGCTCTCATCTGTGGCAGGACAAAAAGATCTGGATCCCCACGATCTTGGGAGCACACATTCCGGGTTGCCAGGACAGTGAGCCAGCTGGGAAGCGCCCTCCCTTCTAGTCAAGAAGCTTGCACCTGAAGTCAGGTTCCTAGAAGGGCTGTGGCCTTTCCCTGTTCTGGGTGAAAAGAGGACCTCAGACGATGCCTGCGAACAGCTGTTTCCTTTGCGCAGCCAGTTGGTGCGCTAAGATTGCCTCCACCAACAAAACTGCTCTCATTCTTGCCCTTTGGGAAGTCAGGGGAGCAAGGGTTTCCTTGGAACTAGACCCCTGCTGTGTTCAGTACCACAGTCCAGCTCTAGCATCTCTGCCTGAGGTCAGATGGGGCTGGAGGACTTACACCTTGTCTTTCGATGACATTTGATGTGGGCCTCGCCAGTAGAGCCCATCCACACCCCTGCCACGTGGTGTCGTAGACTCTGACTTGGGATCTGCTGCTGGGCCAGGGCATGAAGGGACTCACTGTCCACAGTCTGTTTTCATTTCTAAAGATTCATTTGAAATCATTAAAACTTGGAGGGAAATTACAGAATGAAGAATTGCAAAGAACTATGTATCCGTTACTACACAATTTACAGACTGTTTTCATAATCTGTATTCCCATTTGCTCTCACGCTTGTCTGCCGATCAAGATTTATTTTTATTATAGAGACAACAAATCTAAGTTTCAGAGTGGTTAAAAGCCTCCTCAAAAGATGCAAATCCGGGCCATTTTAAAAACATTTTTAAAACATCCACAGAGCAGACCCTTTGCCAGGGTCTTTGAACTCAAAGACCAGTAAGCCATCACCGAAAGCTCTCTTTCTTGTCTTAAATAGAGAAGATCATCTAAATAGCTATTTATTGTAACCATATTCATTATATGTTTCAGTTTACTCAAAATATAGTGCCTCTGTTAGGGGACATTAGAAAACTTTCCAGAAGTGGAAAGGTGAGGGCTAGTGGTGAGGGTGTCTTCACTGCTACTGGTACAGAAGGGGACCACACACCGGTCATCCAGGGGACCCTGAGAGACCGGGAACAGGTATGAGCCAATCAGGACTCTGGAGACTGGCGTGTTTGTGAGCCCCAGGGAATAGGTCTGTCGGCAACGAGTCTTCTCATCTGTGATCTGAATTCAGGTATGTTCTTGGAAGTGATTTCAAATGCAAATACATTTCTCTGAAATTTCTATTTCTTATCAGTAATCCCATTAATGGTGCCCCTCTGGATTTAGACAGGATGTTATGCCGGCACCTCCAACTTAATCCTTTCAAAGCTGAACTCCACATCTACTGCTCAGAGCTTTATTCCTTAGCCTGACACGTGGCTTGGCTTCTGTTCCATTTCCAAGTGCCCAAAGGGGCGTCTACCCAGACTCCTCCCTTTCTTCTCATACAGGCCTAACTATCTAGTCCTGCAGATACCACCTTCCAAACATCTCCTACATTTTCCTTCTCCATTGTGGCTGTGCCTTCAGCCTTTGATGCCTTTCAAGGACTGTTGTGGTCTCCCCGCCCCCGCCCCATGCTGACCTCCATAGGGCTTGTGGCTGATAAATTCAAACTTCTACCACCCTTGGAAAAGAATGGAAGCTCCAATGCTGTACCTCCCACAAACTGAGCGTGACTGTGGTTCCTCTCCTGTCCATATTGCATTCCAAATCTACTTCACTAATGGCTCCCCAAACTGCCCGAGCTGTCTCATGCTTCTCCTCCAAGACGATCTTCTAAGGAAGAGCCAGCCTAACAAATTCTTACTTTTCTTCCAAGCATCCTTTTTCCTGTGAGGATCTTACTAACCTTTTCCTCTAATCCTGCAGTTAGATTTACATTTTCTTTTTTAAAAAGATTTTTATTTATTTATTTGAGAGAGACAGAGAGCGAGTGAGCGAGCGAGCATGTGAGCAGGGAGGGGAGAGGCAGAGGGAAAAGCAGACTCCTTACTGAGCAGGGGGCCCGATGGCAGGACTCAATTCCAGGACCCTGGCCTCATGACCTGAGCCCAAGTCAGATGCTTAAGCAACTGAGCCACCCAGGTGCCCCTAGATTTAAATTTTCTTCCTTTGTTTTTGCTGTATCCTGCAATGACTTCTTCACAGTACTGATGGTATTATGCTATTTCTGTGGGCTCTGTCCTCCAACTAACTTTTGAGTTCTTTCAAGGACAAAGTGCACGTTCCATTTACCATCGTATCCCTAGCACTGACCACGATGTCTGACAAAAATGAATTCTGCTTGGATGCATGCACTAGATTTTCCTTCCCCTGACTACTGAACTGTCCTCCGTGGTAGGATGAACACTGCATTGCTAGACAATGAACCATCTGGGACAGTGCTCCCACGTCTCCTACTTGGAGAAAATGCACTCAAAGTCAGCTTCTTGAAGGGAGTAGGAGTCAACGATGAAGAAACAAATGATTCAGAGTCCACAGAACTTGCTTAAGGACATACAGCCAGTAAAAAATGACAACAAGATCATAAATCAAGGCAGATCTTGTTCTTCACATTCACTGTTTTGTCCCCCGTACTTAGAAAACTTGTTGGCATATAAAATTCAATCAGTATCTGTTGAGTTAATGAGTGACTGAATGAAAGAATGAAAAGTTAACTTCAGAGCCCTGCACCTTTGGCTTCCGCCCTTCTGACTTCCAATCTTGGTGGAGTGTGTGAATATGTGAGTAGAGACATCTTTTTTTTTTTTTTTTAAGATTTTATTTATTTATTTGACAGACAAGAGATCACAAGCAGGCAGAGAGGCAGGCAGAGAGAGAGGAGGAAGCAGGCTCCCCGCCGAGCAGAGAGCCCCATGCGGGGCTTGATCCCAGGACCCTGGGATCATGACCTGAGCCGAAGGCAGAGGCTTTAACCCACTGAGCCACCCAGGCGCCCCAGTAGAGACATCTCTCAAATAAAATTAAAAACAGAATATCATGATTTTCTCTTTACACTAAACCACAATTAAAGAATAATGGTGGGGCACCTGGGTGGCTCAGTGGGTTAAAGCCTCTGCCTTCAGCTCGGGTCATGGTCCCAGGGTCCTGGGATCAAGCCCCGCATCGGGCTCTCTGTTCAGCGGGGAGCCTGCTTCCTTTCCTCTCTCTCTGCCTGCCTCTCTGCCTACTTGTGATATCCGTCTGTCAAATAAATAAATAAAATCTTAAAAAAAAAAAAAAGAATAATGGTAGCTATTTCTGCACGCACGCACATTTATGCACGATTCCAAAACACTGGGATATATAGGCTTGGTAATTCATTTCATTTACTAAAAGAAAAATGGCTTTTGGAAAATAGGTAGACACCCGACCTGGAAATCACATAACTTTACGTTCAGAATTAGTTTTCTGTTAACTGGTAGAATGAACTTGTCAATTGTCCTTCTAAATAGTGTGAAACACAGGCAGACCGAAGTAGACTGTGTGTGTTCTTGAGGAAATTCAGAGCCAGATTCGTGCCCTCCGCTGCTGTGCAGAGGCAGGAGAGGAACACAAAGGGCCCTCCGTGTTTCTGACATCATGGGAAGCAGGTGCACACTGTGTGCTTCTGGGGAGAGCCCTACCTAGGTTTATAGTCTTCCACCAAAACTTCTGGGGCCTCTCTTTTTCATGCTGAATGACAGCTGATTTTATCTTTATCTATTACTGACACAGACCCAGCCATCCACTGTGAAGCAGAACAAAAGCCAGGAACGTGATGAAAGAAACCCGAAATAGATCTTTCTTGAACTGATCTGTATCAGAGTTATAAACAGTTCAAGGCAGGAAGGAAAGGAGATCCGTGAGCACTGTTGCTGAAGATAGAGCAAGGAACGACTTTTTCCTTTCCCTTCACCTACCCGCTCCTTTTTTCTTGTGCAGCTACTCAAAGCAAACAGAGTAGGAAGTGGAAGCATTCACAGGAGACTGTTTACCATGGACAGTCCCCATCCCCGCACGTGGGCTCCCTGCCCACAGTCATTCCCTCCACTGCTACAAAGCACATTTAATAGTGTAAATCACCTTCTGCTACATGGTTCGTTATTCTTCTACTGAGTAAAACAGAAACACATCAATTATGTGTCCACTTATTTCTAAATGCACACCCTCGTAACACTGACCTCTCTCTGTTTTTACATTTTTGTGTGTGTTTCTGACCTTTGTCACCCGGGTTAGCTTCCAAACACTGCTAACCCCTCCTCTTATTATTTCAGCAATTTTCAATGTTCTCTGCTACAGAATTAGTCTGACCTAAAGGCACACTGGGAGGGGAGCTTGTACTCACCACTGCTTATAATCCGCATCACAGTTACAGTAGTATCTGGGGTCTGTGCAGTTCCGCTCGATGCCGCAGGCGCACTTCTGAATGCCAGGCCCGGAGCCGCCCCAGTAGTAGTGCTTCTCATTGGCTTTGCCAACCCACCAGGTGTAAGGGCTGCCATCTATGAGAAAGGGGAAAGACGCCATGAAGTGGACTAGGCTTGACCACGCTGATGTCAACTGTACACCTCCATCCCCAGAGGCAGTGTTGAGCCCTGGTAGACTGAACATCACGTTACCCTCTCACAAGTAAATGTATTTCAATCAAAGGAATATTTAATAAAAAAAAATACAACAGGAAAAAAAAATACAACAGGGAATGGTAAGCCTACGTTTTCCCACCAGGATAGGTACCTCTTTCCCTGGAGGAAGCTTGGACATTCAAGCTTCAGTAACTTAGGTGTCTACTCAGAGGAGAGGCTGGCCAGATGGGGACAACCATGATGAAGGCATGTAGATGGGGGCACTGACTCTGTAAATTACAGCTAAGTTCATGACTAGTTGTGCTTTTCTGGGAGGCAATAGTCAGGTGGATCATAAACTATAAGAGTCAAATGACCTTCATTGTATCTCAGTCTGATCCCCTTATTTTATAGGTAAGGAAACTGAGGTTTAGAAAGCTGAAGGGATTCTCTCAATCACACTGAAGATCTGTTCCCAAGCCAGAAATTCGATGCTGTATCTCATAAGACATCATACAATGCTCTTATACAATACATGTGCCTTTATTATTTGGCCTGATATTCACTCATGTATTTGCTCATTCATCCAATCATCATCAAACATCACTTGAGTTTCCATTGTGTGTTAAACATGATAAGAAACTCAGCAGAATTGATGGAAGAAAATGATACAGATTGAACCTAATAAGATTTATGACACACAGGAGCCTGAGTGAGGGAAAGGAGGTCATGAAAGAAGGTTTCCTAGAAGACATAAGATATTTGAGCTATATGCTGAAGGCTGAATGGGCATTACCCAGGTGAATAAGGATGTAAGAGAGGTAAACGCTTATGGGCAGAGGCAGCAGAATGCAAAAGTCAGAGAGAGAAAGTTCTAAATGGAAAACATACGTAGGAGTGTATAGGTAGAATACAGAAAAATAAAATAGGGCTGAAGAAGTATGTTTGAAAGGGTTGTAGGGGTAGTAGTAACAGTAGATGAGCGCCTCATACACAAAAAATCTTTGTTCAAATAAGAAATTACTTGGGACTCCTGGGTGGCTCAGTGGGTTGAGCCTCTGCCTTCGGCTTGGGTCATGATCTCAGGGTCCTGGGATCGAGCCCTGCATCAGGCTCTCTGCTCAGCAGGGAGCCTGCTTCCCCCCCTCTTCTCTCTCTCTGCCTGCTTCTCTGCCTACTTGTGATCTCTCTCTGTCCATGAATAAATAAAAATCTTAAAAAAAAAAAAAGAAATTACTTCACATTGGTTTATTCTTGTCAGTGTTTACTTCCTCCCAACACAAAGAGACTGGACTTCATCCTGTAAGTAATGTGAACCAATTAAAGGATTTAACACAGGCAATTATCAAATTTATATTTTAAAGATATACATAGTAAGATGAAAGATTTCTGGGGGATGAAGTCAGGGAGGCCAGATGTGATGCTCCTATGTTAACACAGAAAGAAATAATAAAACAGAGTGGGAATGGAGAGGAAGATAAATTAGAAAGAGCTTAGTAAGGTATAATTGGCGTAGGATTTTGGGATTAGGGTGGGAGGGAGGGTAGGAAGTAATCTCCCTCCTTCTGGCTTGGCTGATGTGTTTCACCAAGGCAGAAAAGAGGTTAGGTAGGAAGATAAGAAGTTTGGGGAATGTTGAAGAAAGGATGATGAATTCAATACATAAACTAGGCAATTGGCTGTAGAAGACTGGATCTTAGGAACATTCTTTGGGCTGAAAATCATGTTTTAGGAACCATGAGTGTAAAAGAGACAATACTGGTTGCAGGAGAGACGCCACTGGAATCTGCTGGATTACAGGAACATTTGGAGAAGAAAAAGAGAGGCAGACGGCCATCACGGACCCAGTAGAGGGAGCAGTCAGAAAGGGTGGAGGGAAAATAAGCAAAGTACTTCCAGAAGACAGAGTGTTCAGAATTGCCAGATTATTTCATAGTGAAATCCATGAAGATGAGAATCTTAACTTTTTCTTTTAATTTGACAGCTGCAAGGTCACAGGAGACTTTGTTGGAAGGAGTTTCAGATGAATGACGGCAAGATGAAGCCAGGCAGCGGCAGGTGGGGGAGGGAATGGAGGGGGAGGAGGAGAGGTCCTAGGAACAGCTCCTCTTGCAGGAAGCTGGGAGGGAATGGAATCTATTGGGGGTGGTGCCAGCCAGGAAGCCAAGAAGGCCAGTCAATTAAAATCTTCAGGTGTATAGCTAGAATTTCATGAGGAGAACTCACCCACCATTTTGGGATGCTAGGTAGACACTTCTGCCAGTGTCTGCTGTACAAGTGCTCAGAAATAAAAATGAGGCAAGAGCCACACTGGACTTGCATGAAGATTGCTGCAGAACTGTCTTAGATACACCAATCATTTTTTTTTAAGGTAGACAATTTATTTTTATTACTGAAGTATAGTTGACATATGATGTTATATTAGTTTCAGGTGTACAACATAGTGATTCAACAATTCTATACATTACTCAATGCTCATCATGGTAAGGGCAGTCCCCATCTGTCACCATACAATGTTATTACAATATTATTAACTGTATTCCCACTGCTGTACTTTTCATCTTTGTGAGTTATTTATTTTATAACTGGAAGTTTGTAACTCTCAACCCCCTTCACCTGTTTCACCCATCTCCCACCCTCTTTCCTTCTGGCCAACCATCAGTCTGTTCCTTGTTTTTATGACTCTGGCTTTTTGTTTGTTTATTCGTTTTGTTTTTTGATTCCACACGTAAGTGAAATCATATGGTATTTGCATTTAGCATAAGACCCTTTAGGTTTATCCATATTGATGTAAATGACAAGATTGCATTATTTTATGGCCAAGTAATATCCTATTACACACACACACACACACACACACACACACCATCTTCTTTATCCATTCATCAGTCAATGGACACTAGGGTTGCTTCTATATCTTAGCTATTATAAATAATATTGCAATAAACACAGGGGTGCATATATCTTTTCAAGTTAGTGTTTTTGTTTTCTTTGTGTAAATACTTCGTAGTGGAATTGCTGGATCGTATGGTAGTTCTATGTTTAATTTTTTAAGGAAACTCCATACTGTTTTCCACAGTGGTTACACTACTTTACGTTCCCACTAATAGTATATGAGGGTTTCCTTTCCTCTACATCTTTGCCAACACTTGTTACTTTTGTCTTATAGATAATAGCCATTTGACTGGCATGAGGTAGTATCTCCCTGTGGTTTTGATTCACATTTCCTGATGATGAGTGATGTTGCCATCTGGATGTCTTCTTCAGAAAAATGTCTTATTCACATCCTCTGCCCATTTTTAATCAGATTATCTGGGTTTTTTTGGATGTTCAGTTGTATAAATTCTTTATATATTTTGGATATTAACCTCTTATTGGATATATCCTTTGAAAATATCTTCTCCCAGTCAGTAGATTGTCTTTTCATTTTCTTGATAGTTTCCTTTGCTATGCAAAAGCTTTTTTTATCTTGGTGTAGTTTATTTTTGCTTTTATTTCCCTTGCCTGAAGAGACATATCCACAAATATGTCACTAAGGCTGATGTCTAAGAGATGACTGGCTATGTTTTCTATTAGTAGTTTTAAGGGTTCATGTCTTACATTTAGGTCTCTAACTCATTTTGAATTTATTTTTATGTATGATGTAAGAAGGTAATCCAGTTTCATTCTTTGCATGTAGCCGTCCAGTTTTCCCAAGAAATTTTATTGAAGAGACTGTATTTTCCCCATTGTATGTTTTTTCCTTCTTTCTGTCAATTCACTGACCACATAAGGGTGGGTTTATTTCTGGGCTCTCTATCCTGTTCCACTGATCTATGTGTCTTTGGGGTATATATATATATATATATATATATATGTGTGTGTGTGTGTGTGTGTGTGTGTGTGTGCATGTGTGTGCCAGTATCACTCTGTTTTGATTACTACAGGTTTGTAATATATCTTAAAATTTGGGATTGTGATACCTCCAGTTTTGTTCTTCTTTCTCAAGATTGTTTTGGCTATTTCGGGTCTTTTGTGGTTCCATACAAATTATAGGATTATTTGTTGTAGTTGTGTGAAAAATGCTACTGGTTTTTTTTGACAGAAATTGGATTGAATCTATAGATGGCTTTGGGTAGTACGAACATTAATTCTTCTAATCCCTGAGCATTTGTTTGGGTTGTCTTCAATTTCTTTCATTAATATCTTATAGTTTTCAGAGTATAAGTCTTTTACCTCTCTGGTTAGTTTTTTTTTTTTTACTTTTTTAAAGATTTTATTTATTTATTTGACAGAGATCACAAGTATGCAGAGAGGCAGGCAGAGAGAGAGGGGGAAGCAGGCTCCCTACTGAGCAGAGAGCCCGATGCGGGGATCCCAGGTACCTGAGATCATGACCTGAGCCAAAGGCAGAGGCTTAACCCACTGAGCCACCCAGGAACCCCCTCTTTGGTTAGTTTTATTGCTAGATATTTATTATATGTTTTGGTGCAATTGTAAATAGGATTGTTTTTACAGTGGGCAATTTAAAGTCATGAAACTCTTCTGGGAGGTTCAGGCTTGATGTAGTAAATGAGCAAACACTCCAAACTTAGAAAAGAATTAGAGTCTCCTACTTCATACATATTTCTAGGTTTTCCACTTGTGCTGACTTAATTTGGAAAAGTTATTATTTTTTTCCCTTTGCTAGATCATTTATAGCACAAGAATTTTTAAAATATATTTGACTTGGTCTGGTGAACAGGAGAAAGGGAGATTTTAGTACCCTGTTCTGAAGGGAGGAAGAGGCCAGGTCTTTGAGATAAGGTCCACTCGGAAGCCCTATCTTTTGCCTATGTGGGCCATGTCCCAGAATAAAGACAGCTGTGTTTGCTTTCTGAATTCAAGGTGTTTTTGTTTGTTTGTGTGCTTGCTTCTCCTTTCTCTTCCCATCAGGGTAGAGTAAAAGCATCCATACCGAT